CGACTTATGTTAAAAATCGTATTTGCTTTGTGTTGGTGTTTGTGTTGTGATAAATGATACAGGCGTACATTTAACACAAGTTATCACAACGCACGCCAATGCGTCACAAAGCTTTGCCATGCGCTGCCACAGTTAAATTAATGTTTTTTTGTTTTTTTTTTAAAAGAAAAAAAATTACAATTCATGAACTGCGATGCATTTTAACAACGCACTGCAGCGCATGTGCATGGCGTAACCACAATATGGTGCACGTGTATGTTGTGTATGTGTGTGGCGGGGGGAGGGGAGGGTTGTGCTTTTTTATTTTTACACATTTTATGTTTCATTTTTTAATCTTTTTTTTTTTCTTTACTGTTGGGGGAGCTCCGGGGAAATATTAGGGGTCTAGACGGACCCCTGACGTTTCCCTTTTGAAATAGAAAAAGAAATTAAGGACACGAGTCCTCAATTTCCTTTTCTGCATTTCAGCGGCTTGTGATGACAGCTTTTAATTTAAAGGGGACCATCCAGGGAACAGTTCTGCTATTAGTTCATGGTCGCTAAAGCAACCACGAGCTTATAGCAGAACTGTAAATGCCACCGCCGTAAGGCATACTGAGCTGGCGTTTCAGGAACAGTTTTGTTCCGCCGTATGCCTTACGGCGGTGGCAGGGAAAGGGTTAGAGCTGCAACAGTTAATCGATTTAGTCGATTAACATCGACGATTGAAAACGTTGGCAACGTTTTCAATCGTCGATTCGTCGGCTATCGATTGAATTTATCCGGGGCTCCACATGTGGCCTGAGCCACACGTCACACGCTGCTCCCCCTGCGGCCGCCGTGCCCACGGCACAGGCCACGTAAGCCACGCCCACCGCATAGGACGCTGAAGCCGCGCACACCGCTGCTCTACTCCTTGACGCGATCTCCCTCACTCGTCGCTGGCCCGCCGACAATCAAGGGCCCACCTTCTGAAAGCAAGTCAGTGGTGGAATAGGTGTACGGAGCTGCAGTGTGGAACAGGTGTGCTGGGATATAGTGGTGGAATAGGTGTGTGGGGGTGCTGTGGTGGAACAGGTGTCAGTGTGGAACAGCTGTGTGGAGAGGCAGTGGTGAAATAGGTGTATAGGGGTGCAGTGTGAACCAGGTGTGCAGGGATGCAGTGGTGGAACAGGTGTGCGGTGGTGGAATAGGTGTATGGGGGTGCTGTGGTGGACCAGGTGTGTGGGGGTGCTGTGGTGGAACACGTGTGCAGTGTGGAGAGGCAGTGGTGGAATAGGTGGATGGAGGTGCAGTGGTGGACCAGGTGTAGGGGGGTGCAGTGTGGACCAGGTGTATGGGGGTGCAGTGGTGGAATAGGGGTGCAGGGATGCAGTGGTGGAACAGGTGTGCGGGGGTGTGGTGGTGGAAAAGGGGTATGGAGGTGCAGTGTGGAACAGGTGTATGAGTGTGATGTGGTGGAATAGGTGTTTGGGGGTGCTGTGGTGGAACAGGTGTACAAGGGTGCGGTGTGAAACAAGTGTATGGGTGCAGTAGTGAAATAGATGTGTGGGGGTGCTGTGTGGAACAGTTGTATGGGTGTGAAACGGTGGAACAGGTGTATGAAGGTGCAGCGAGGAACAGGTGTATTGGTGTGCAATGGTGGAATAGTTGTGTGGGGGTGCTATGGTGGAACAGGTACGAGTTACGCTACGCGCGCCGGGGACGCCACGACCACGCCGCGTATGCCACGCCCACCACACAAGCCGGGCACACGTTGATGGACTACAATCTCAATGCAAACTAGTAGTCCATCACTGGAGCCTTTTTTTCCCCTTTTTTTTATCCGATTAACCGATTAATCGAACTTAATAATCGGCCGATTAATCGATTATGTAAATAATCGTTAGCTGCAACCCTAGAAAGGGTTAAGTTGAATTTCATCTGAACTTGAAGCTGGTGCAGGGATTAAGAGGAGCAGCACTGAAGAATCGAGCAGAGAGGTGGATTAATTTGGGCAGGAGAGGTAAAGGGGACTAGAGTGGTACCAGTCTGTTGTGTGTGGTGTTTTGTTTTAGATCCTAGTAAAGAGCATTATATTAGTAGAGGCTGCATATGATGCGAGCATGCATTTTAGTCATTTCATTAGTGGGAAAGGAACTAATGTGAGATAGTTTAAGACCGAGATTACAGTAGGTGGTTAGTAAATGAATGTGGCAGTGAGCTCTGGGAAGCTAGGGTTATTGGGCTGTTGCTATTAGCATTTAATTCCAGTAGGGAGATGATTTAAAAGTAGAGACCGCAAGATGGTCTGGAAAACTAGACTGTTAGGACGCAAGATCAGAGGCAAGAAGATCTGACTATGATCCACATCGAAGCGATATGGAGTCAAATAAGCTAATCGGTTAGTGAAGATCATGGGTGCAGATAAGGAAAAGAAAGGGGGTGTGAGGACAGAACCTTTTTGGTAAAACTAAAAGACAGAGAAGGCAAAAAGTAGTATTTTATGAATTTAGATACATTGAAAACCCATCTTGATATTTAAGAAAAGACAGAGGAGATGGCACCTTAAGGCCAGGTTCACAACCCATTCAGATCATCTCCAGACCACACCAGATTTGTTTCGGGACCCAAAATGCATCATTTTATTTTGCTATTTTTGGCCTCTGTTCGCACCAGCGTAGTGAGTTCCCGACTATACCAGAAAAATAACGCAGGTCTCATTTTGTCTGGTCTGGAACGCATGGAAACAGATCAAAAACGCATGCAAATGCACTGGACCGCACCTGAAAGCCAATTTTAAGCTAAAAGAAAAATAAAGCAGCTCGGAAACCCGGCAAAATCATTGTAAAAATTCTGCAAAACGCAATGCACCACGTTCCAGATCTAGTCCAGAAAATGGTGTGAACCTGGCCTAAAAGAATAGATCTAAAGTGGTACATAATGGTCTACAGTGTGTGAGATTTAGCTTCCAATGGTAGCACATTAAGGACAGAGTCCGCTTGCTTACTACGTCTTTTTAAGGGCTTCTGTGTCCGCTTTTATTAATGCACACAAGTCCACACAGGTGTTTCCCTCGCAGGGGTCTTCAAACATAAAGTACGGCAAAATAATATTTTTCCAAGTCTCACCGACTTCAGGTTATCACAAAAAACCTCTCCCACAGGGGCTGTATCCAGCTGATGTGCCACACAGGCTGGTTCCAGGTTGGAGTCCTCCTGGACAGACACCACCCTTGTCTTCCAGCTGGAACCGTGAACCTGAACCAGTATCCTTTTCATAAGGGCTGTGCACAGGTGCACCATCATTCGGTGCTGGTCACCACTAAAGCCCGGACCCAGGAATGGAGATTTCTTCCCTCCCAGTTCACTTAGAAATCTCCTGGCTCCAGGATTCCAACTATAATCCAGAAAACCCGGAAAGTATTATAAAGCCAGCTCTTTCCTGCAACTGCATAGTCCCTCTTGCTGAGAGTCCTGGGTGCCATATTATACCGTGGTATTGCCACACAATACAACAAGTGTAAATAGATTTGCAGCAGATATATTCAGCTGACTATCATAAGGTACTTTATATTAAATCATACATAATTAAAAAAATGTACATTTTCTTTTTGATCTAGTTTTTTTGCTACCCAATAGTATGTTGATATGCTGAAACAACGATTTGTGCAGTGGTCTTTTTTTCCTCTTCCTTGGATACCAGGATTTCTAAAAAAATTGCTGTGGGCTTAAGTTATTGGTAAACCAAAGTGATATATTTTCCTGTAAAGTATAGTCAGCAGACATCACACACACAGTTTTAATCTGTTTGTATGGCTTTTGCAAAAATTTAGTTTTTGCTTTTAAGCCATTTTTAGACAAAACACCACTCTGACAAAGATTCACTTACTAGTTCCTCTTTTCAGTTAAAAATGATAATTTGATGCAAGGAGTAATGGGTATAGTCATCTTCTTGCTTTTGACTTTTAGCCCTCATTCACACAGGAATCGACCCCCACGTACAGCTCCGTGCTGCTTGCATGGCCGTACCGAGAAGCTTCCGGGAAGGACAGGTGCTGCATGTGATTAGTACGCAGCCCCCGTCCTTCTCTATGGGACTAAGCCGCCGTGCGCCCCCCTACGCTCACCTCAAGTGCAGGTCCGTACGGGTGCGTGTTTACTGGCTCAGACGCAGACAGGATCCATCCTGTCAGCGTACGAGTACTCGCACCCGCATGGCGGGTGAGCGCAGGGGGTGTACTAATCACACGCAGCACCTGTCCTTCCCGGGAGCTGCTCGATATTGCCCTGCACGAAGCTGTACGTGCGGGACGATTCCTGTGTGAATGAGGGCTTAATATTGTAGGACAAGGATCTGAAATCATGAACTTTCTAAGTAGCCTTTGCAAGAACAGTCTCGTATTGTGCCAGGATCTTCATGTGTGAATTTAGTGAAATACTGCCTGCTCTGGGCTCAGATGCACTTGTTATAGCAGGAATTGCATATTTGTGATACTAGGGCTTAGGCTTTTGTTTAGGGTCAAGGCCATGTTACATTGGCAATTTATTTGCAGTGATGCTATTTTTTTCCCCTAGGTATTTTATATAGAATTGCTACGGACTTGTTAATCTTACAGCAACATGTTGTTCATTGATTAATTTTTAAGCAGCGTTTTATGTCGGCAACAAGCTCACCATTCACCTCTATTGCTTGGCTACAAATTCAACAAAAGTTCAATCTTGTGTTAGAGCATGCCAACCTAATGATGTAGTACTGGTTTAACCTTTGGCAGCCAAAAATCACTTGGTGATGGTCATGACGGTAGAGAGTATGTCGCTAGCTACAAATTTATGTTAATTGGTGGCATTGACAATTTGAAGCAGTGATTATTTGCTTATACAAAATTGTCAATGTGACCTGGCTCTTTTAAGGAGGCAGAGGGGTTTTGTGTGATAACGTTTTACTGTAGGGGTTGTGTTTTAAGGAGATCAAGTTTAAGGCTCATTTTAGGGGTAGTACACATTTGAAGATTGCTAACAATCGCGTTCTCTTTTCCACAGATATGCTTTCACTGTACTGGCAAACATCTCTGTTTATGCTGTTGCTTGGTTGCTACTTCACTTTCAGCCTGGGAAGACTGGTCATGAAGAGACACACTTGGGACGGCAGGACATTCCTATCTTCAGGGTATGTGAAATCGCTTTAAAAAATTTCCCAAAGTCCAGCATCTGCCTTTTAACCACCTTTTAGTACTGGAACAATTTTTGTTTAAAATTTTTGCACACATACTAAAATCTGAATTTTTGGTTTTGGTCCAAGACGCATCAACAAAAGTAACATCCAAAGTATACAACATGACATATATCCACCTGGTTTTAATTTGTATTTTATAATTTTTTACTTTTTATTACTTTTTTTTTTTTTACTTAACTTTATTGCTATTGCATCGGGGCTAACAAGCCCTTATGTGATAGTGCTTGGAGGTGACAGGTTCTCTTTATGGAGACATCACTGGTCTATTAGGCTCCTGATGTTGCCCCTGCCCTTCAATACAAACTATCATTCACAGGATTTTGCTTGGTCGCCTGTGTAATCATCATGTTAGCTGGCTTTGAAGCAGGAAGCACTAAGAGCACAGTGCTCCCTTCATTCCTCACAGAGTGGATTGGGGTGCAGAGGTTCCTTGGTCTGCTTTCCGATTTTCATCCTGAAACTCTTTTGCTTTTGCTCCTGGTGTGGGGGCGGCACCACATCTATTTGCAGGCTGTTACCAGTGTTCTGGGAGCCTGTACAGTCTCATTGCCTGCAGAGAAAACCATAAGATCATGGCTGAAGCAGCAGACCTGATCTTGGTATAACTACTTGGTTGATGTGTATATACGGCGATCCAGAAGTGGTTAAGGAAACACTGATGCCTATGCCTTGTCAGGTGTGTCAACACATTACACAAGTAGCTAATATTTGGGTTTTTTTAATTGCCATTTTATCCTTTTTATAAGGACTATTTAAAGCTGGCCTAACACTGCTTTATTTTTTCTCAGTTCAACCTGCGGGCTGGACAGAAAAAATAGAGCAGATTCCTCCAACTCTACAAGCGTGTTGATTGAGGAATCCCTGCTGATTCTTTTTTTTCTCTTTGCGGCCAATAATCTGTGATAGAGAGGCAGTGGAAGAGAGGAGGAGAAAACATTGGAACAAGAAAGAAATATGAATTTGGGGGAGAAATCACTAAGATTGGGAGCAGAGAGATCCGAAACCAGGAATCGTTGTTGAATTGTAAGGACTAATCTTTCTAGTGTCCAAATTTATTGAACTTAATCAGTTGGGGAAGATGGTAAGAGAATAAGCAACGTAAACAAATAAGTATAGGCAGTGGAGTGTCAAAGAAAAAAAGATGGGAAGGGCTTGAAAAATGCACTCGTCTTCTTGTCCTGTGACAAGCGGACTACCCGAGCCAGGAAGAGTAGATTCCCGGCCGGCCTTTTGTAATTAAACGGCCTGCCGAGAGCTTTACATTCAAGCGCTCGGGTGTCTCTAGAGACGCCCGATCGCTTGTATTAGCTGCGGGACCGGCACGGCTGCTCTGTGACAGGAGATCAAAGGGAGATCAGCACACGATCCCCCTCTGAGCTCCTCTCCGGTCCCCGAATGCAGGAAGTGATGTATATTATACTTTTGCATTCAGCTGTCATTCCCAGCTACAGAAGCTGGGGAAGCAGATCTCTGCTTCATCAGCTTCTCTGGGGGTCCCTAGGCCCCCGCCCCTCACATACAAACGTGCATCGGGTGCGCCTACGTGCAAAATCGACAATTGCATCTATTGTGCCGCACATGTTACATATCGACGCGAACATCGGAGTGTGAGCAATAATTTTAGGGCCATTAATCACTGATGACACTAAACTTATGCGGTTGAAGCGTCGCCTATGGCCAATTTCCGATGTGGTCGTTTTTTGCGGGCGCGCAATTTTGAAGTTCGCGGTATACTGAGCTTAGGGTAACGGGAGGACGCTAGTTTGTGTCCTCCCGTTACCCTAAGGAGAACTATGGGGGAAAAACACTGACCCCCATAGTTCTCCTTTAACATAAAGTAGGGAAAAATGTTTTTTTTTTTTTTCTAAATTTACAGTACTTTTTTCATTATATAATAAAAAATAACATTTTTAAATAAAATGATTACATACCACCAAAAGAAAGCTCTATCTGCCCCCAAAATTATTTAACATAAATTGCAAGGCTATAGTCCGGTCATGCTGACTGTTGACATTTTTGACTGGTGAGACACCCTAACATTTTTCAAGCCCTGAAGATGGGGGTAACTTTGGAAAGCTAAAGGAAGAACAAAATGGTTCAGGGGGGATGTAGGGGTGCAGTAAGCAATTATTTATTGCAGTATATAAGAATACTATTGTAAAGATTTAGATACTACAGACACACTTATAAGAACATAGCATCATTCATTTGGGCGTTGAAATATAAAAAAAAGTTTACTCTGCATATACCACAACATAAAAACAATATCTGTTGCAAAAAGCTAGAAAGAATATTCATACGGAATTTCATTATTTATGAACGCCTTTTATATACTACTAGGAGTTTAAGGGCCATAGCAAGGGGGAGATGAGTGAGGCACTCGCCTCGGACGCAGGCGCGAGTGGGCACAGCCAGGGCTTGGCGCAGCAGGGAGAAGAGGGGTGACACAGCCTGCAGCTTCTCCTTGCTGCTCTCTCCACCTGTATGGGCAGAGGCTGTAGGGATCCAAGGAGAAATGAAGCGCTGGTAGGGGGGGCAGTGAGGAGAGGGAGCGCCGCTCGGCTAGGATCTGACCACCAGCGTCTCTTTCCTCTCCGCTTGTCCATCCTGAAGTGACAGCGCTCCCTGCACCGCCCCCCCACCGGCTTCAGCGCTTCATTTCTCCTCTGATGCCCGCTGCCTCTACCCATACAGGCGGGGGAGAGCAGCAGGGATCAGAGAACAAGCTGTAGGCTGTGCCGCCCCCTTGCACATGCAGCTCCGGATGGAGAGTGGAGGATGGACAAATATCTGCTATTTACTGATCCTCCTGTGTGCAGCACAAACATTGGAGTGATCAGTACAACTATGTGTTCCCAGTTTTAAATGATCAGGAAGTGCTTTACATCGCTTCCTGTTCATTCATGAGTTTCTCAATGGGGAGAAGCACTACGTACAAAGGCTTCTCCCCATTCAGAAACTGGTTATAGTACAGAGGCTTCCCATTCATTGAGAAAATATTTACTGAGTGCTTTCCATTCATTTAGAACATAGGCTGCAGAAAAAGAGATGGAGGACTCTGTGTCCTCCTAATTTCTTTTTCTATTTTAAAAGGATATCACACACACAAGTTATTAAACGTGTAAAGACTAAAAAGGTTTTCATTGGGGGGGGCATTTTCTGTTCTTGCCTCAGGCGCAAGAAGAGCTAGCTACGACTCTGCCCTAGTTGGAAGTTTGAATAATCTTCCATAGGCTCAAATCTTAATCTTATTTCTCCTATTAACATCTTAATATATTTGCAAACTAAACAAAGGCTGCCTCTCTGTGTATGTTCATGGATGAGTAGCCTAAGGCCTGGTTCACACCTAGGCGTTTTTGAACAGTTAGAAAGCTGCCAAATGCAGAAAAAAAAAATGCGCCTCTTGTAGCAGTTTCAAGCTCTTTTTTTTTTTTTTCTTTTCTTTTCT